GCGGAGTCAGGAAGGACCCTTGAGAGATGGGGTACCTGAAGCACTGAACCCACAGGCTGGAAGATGACAGGGAGTTTGGGACAGCCTGGCCCCAAAGCTTTTGCCCCCAGGCCCGAATGGTTTCTGAGGCCCCTTCATAGTGCACTATTATTCCTCAGTGTGCAGCATTGGCCTTCCCTTCCTCATGTACTCTGATGGGAGAGGACAACCTCTGGATAAGCAGGTTTAGCAGACATTTTCTTTCCAGATAGAGAAGCAGTCAGGACTTAAGGGCACTGGGGAGGCCATGATGGTGCCAGTGTCAGAGGAGCAGCCTGGGGCCAGGTGGTGCCAGTGTGTCTCAAGCAGACACTGTGTCCAGCTGCCCCCAGAATGAACAGCGCTTCTCTTAGGGCTAGAATCCCCTCTAGCCAGGTGTTCTTTTCCCTTCCTCTTTCCTCTTAACACATTTCAGGCAGAGGAAGCCTGGCTATCCAACTGGCCCAGAGCTAATCTTAATGGAGGTCATGAGAAAACAGGTGAGCACCACAGGGTAGAAAAAGCCCCATCTTTGAAGTCAGGCAGAGCAGGATCAAATCCCAGTTCTGCCACCAACATGCTGTGTGGCCTTGAGGAAGTCGTTTCATCTTCAGGGGTCTCAGCAGCCTCTGTAATTGGGGGCAGTCATCTCTACCTTCCAAGGATGTTGGAAAGTTTTGAAAGCAATACCAGCTCCCCGACCTCTTCCTTGGGCCCTGTCTCTTGGCACCAGACAAGTTATAACTAAACAATCAATAAGAAAGGTCCTGTCCTGGAATGTCCAGGGGTGGCCAGGAAGAGCACGGATTGAGGTGGAGGTGGCTGGGGCCCATAGCGGGGAGTGGGAGGGCTTCGTGCCTGGGAGGATAGGACAAGATAAGAAGACAAGCCAAGAAGGGCTGTGTGAGATAGCCTTGGCATACTCTCACAGTTGGGCCTATGTTTCTGTGGGTTAGTCCATATCCTATTCCCATAGCCGGGCTGTACTCAACCTAGGAGATGCATGCACAGTTTAAATTGGCTGAGACAGCCCAGGTGCCACTCCCAGTGGCCCAGTGCAAATCCTGTTCCAACAGCACTGGCTCAGCCTTCACTGGGGTGACTTAGCCCCAGGCCCTGCTCAGCCACCCTCCCATCACCATCAGCCAAGCCCTCCAATGAGGGAGGCAGGAAGTGTGTGTCTCTCAGGAGCATTGTTGGGTTGCCAGACACCCCTCCTCTGCTCAGCCCACATCCATGGTAGCACCTACCTGTGTGGCCTCTGTGACCTCCAAAAGGTTGATGGTTCCCTGAGCCAGCCAGACTCCGGGCCACCAGCAAAATGCAAGCCTGCTCATTGGAATAGGGCCTGTCCCCTCTAATGGGGCCCCCACTTTCCCAATATAGTTGTCTCTGCTTGGAGAAACTAGCCCTAAGTGTGTGAGCATGCAGGGATATCAGGGTTCTGGGCCCAAGGGTCAGCTTGACATGGACTTTGTCCAGAGATTTCGGGGCATTCTCTGAGTATCCGTCTCCCCTCTGTTGAATGGGGACATGCACACTCTCCAAGCCCCCCCACCCTGCAAGGGGAGCCATGAGTGGGGAGTGATTTTGTGAGTTCAAGAGGCCTGGGGGTGGGGGACAGGGCTTTTTTCAGCCCACACTGGCTTTGGGCTACACAGGGACGTGTGGAAGGACAAGAACAGATAAAGGGGTCCTTTCCTGGCTCCTGTCACCCTCTAGGCAGAGGCCAGCCCACCCTGGCCTCCCTTTTCTGATGAAAGCCACAGACCCTCCAGGGAAAATGCACATTCCCACTGAATGTGGCTCTTGATTCAGGAGCAGAGATGCTCACAAGACCTCAGGGCTGAAGCTGCTCTCTCTCCCTCAGCTTCTGCAGGTCACCCCCACCATGGCTGAGCATCACTGTGCGGGTGCTCACCTCACTCAGCTCAGATGGGGGAGTCCCGCTCGCCCATGGGACTGAGCCCTGGGCCCCAGTACCCAGCATAGGCATGGGTGAAGAAACAGAAGGAGGGACACCTGGGCAGTCCGGGGTGCCTCCTGAATCCTGCCATGAGTGCAGAGGGGCTAATGGGGCTGTCACCCTTCAATCCTGCCGATCCTCATCCCTTCACATGCTAGAATCAAAAATGGATCCTCTCAGGGGCAGGACCCTGCACCCCTCAGATGGAGTACTGGGCTGGGGTTGCATTCACCCCCTGAGACCAGGGTCCCGGGGCAGGAGGGCAGGCAGTGGCTCCCCTCAGACTGCATCCCGAGAGTGGGCCCCAGTTTCCTCCCAGACCCAGAGATCCTTTGCAGAAATACGGTGACGAAAGAAACCTCCAGGAAGCCTGGGTGACCGTAGACGTCATTTGCCTTTATTTTCTTAACATATAATGAAATTCCAATTCCAAAGAGATGTATATGCAGAGCAGGCAGAAGCAGGGTCCAGGTATACAGCAGCAGGGGCCCGAAGGGGTGCAGATCTGAGCCCTATTCCCCTCCAGCACAACCCTCAGCCCTCCTTGGCCCTGGCCATTGCCTAGGCAGAAACCAAGAAGCTGGAGATGAGCGGAGTGATCTCATGGCCCAGATAGCAGCCGGAGACATGGCCTTGGCTGCTAGGCCTGGCCAAATCACGACCTAGCTGTGGGACCTTGGGCCTCCGTTTCCTCATCTGTTTAGTGGGCTATAGGTCCCTGCCAGGGAATGGAGAAGAGTGTGCAGGTGTCATGATGGGTCGGTGACGGTTGAGGCCTCCTGCTCCTAGATGTCTGGGGATGGTGTCTCAGTTTTTGTCACCATTGTGGCTATGGGCCCGTGGGTGCACCTGCTCTGGCCCTGGTGGAATTGAATGGACTGTGTAGGTAGCTGCCCCTGAAACAGACTGGGCTTGAACTGTACTTGGGCTACAGCCGTAGCTCCTCCATCAGCTCAAGGCCGACTCTGCTTCCAGGTAAGTGAGGGGGGAAGGCTGTGGCCTGGGTAACACCGGGAGCCTGCGCAGGTCACCGAGGTGCCCGAAATGCCTCCAACCAGGAACTCAGCAGTAAGAGGGGAATCTGCCTCTCCTCCCCGCTCAGAATCGGCTGGGGGCGTGGTAACCCCCCGAGGGCCCAGCAAGGGCATCTGCTCCCGTGGGCTGAGCCACATCACGGTCATCTGTCCCCAGGCTTGGGGCTTCGGATAACAAACTATCCTTTAATAAGCTCACCCCTGTGTAACAGTGACCGGTTCTACTCTGGCAGGAGGAAGTGGAGAACCGAATAGTGGTCCAGATGATGCAGTGACAGGTGGAAAAGAGCAAGAAAAACTCAGTGAGGAAACGTGGGTGCTCCTCCTTTGACCTCTAAATGACCTTGACTTGGCAGCAGCAGGCCCTGTCCGGTGAAGCCGCTGCAGAGGGAAGCTCCAACGCCTGGGTGTCTGCTGCTCGCTGCTCTGAAACCGGCCCGCACGTGAACACGTTCACATAGGCACAGGTGCAGCTCGGTGCTCGGGGGAGCACCCAGAGCAGCTGGGAGACACAGCACTGGTCCCGACTACACCTTCCAGAACCCACGGTGTGTCTACACTTACAGGATCCCAGAGAGGGACCGCAGGCCCACAGAGCTCTCTCCCTGGCCCTGCCCTTTACAGACGGGGTCACCGAGGCCCCCAGAGAGGGACGATCTCAAGCTCTGGCAGCACATCCGAGGGAGGGCCCTGGAAGCAAGCCAAATGGCAGGGACCAAGCTTGTCACCCCTTGCTTCTAACACGGCCCTTCCTGGGGTCTCTTTCCCTCAAAGCACCCTTGGGGGCAAACTGCATATTTCCAGGAAAGGGCCATGCCCACCCAGAAGCACGAAACGATGGTCGTGGAGCCCCAGGCACCTGCGTCAGGTGAGCTGCTTTGGGATGAGGGGGGCTTTCTGGCACACCTCCTGTCACACTCTGAGAGTGGGTCCCTCTCTTTCACCTCCTCTCTGACTTCAAGGGAGCGGGTGAGTGGGAAGTCTTGGTCTCCAGGAAGCCCCGAGGCCAGGAAACAGAGAAAGAGAAAGAAAGTGACAGAAACAGCCCCAAATCAGGCTTGGCCATGAAAGTCCCATGAATCTTTGACAAGTGACTTTGGCCAGCGTGTCAGAGTGTCTACAATATGGATTTCACCCCAC